CGGGCTGCGAAACCCCCCCGCCTCTCTGCGGCTCGACATGGACGCCGTCGGAAAGGTGAGCAGTCGCACACTCGTCTGATGCATTCATCCATTTCTTACTCAAAGTCTTGCGTGCATTTTCTCTTCGTAGCTTCGGACCACCCGCTCTCAGCCGGTGTCACCCAGACCGCACCTGGGTCGGGACAGTCCCTTCCATCCCGCGCTCACGCCCATCCAGACGCCATCCGCCCTCGCGCTGGCGCAGTCCATGTTTGGAATGGGACGAGCGTTTGAGTTCGTGGGAGACGACGGGTGAGACGAGTCTTGCGAGTCATGCTTTGGTTCTGTATGTCGCTGTGAACTAGCAAGAACGACAGCTATAACGATAACTGTGCGTTTTAATAATTATTATAAAACGGAGAGTTCCGGTGCTTGATTCTGATTGGCTGAGCTGCGTTCGAAGCTGTTGTAAATTACTCTACAAAGTAACATACACCTTTGTTTACGTTTGTGTGTTGCTCGGCAACCACTTTGTAGCAACCACAACTGTTTCTGAGGAGCTACATTGTTTGGTGGAAGAATACTGTTTTTATTAATATCATTACACTTTATTTGCTCTGTTTTATTTTGTGAAACCTTACTACGTATATGGAATAACCGTTTTATAAAAGCAATAACCCCCGTGAAGCCGTGGTTTACAGTGAATTTTATAAATTCACTGTAAACCACGGCTTCTTGGGGCTTATTGCTTTATTCTAACTTGGACGCTAATATAGTTATCGTTATAGTTATCGTTATAGGTGTGGTGTGGATGGTAATATAGTTTTCATTATAGTTCAAGTCACCTTTATTTCTATAGCGCTTTATACAATACTGATTGTGTCAAAGCAGCTTTACAGTGTTAAACAGGAAAAACGTGTGCTAATATATATTAATAACACATTATACTAATAATATTACTAATAACTTTTTACAATAAGGTTTTTCAGACCCAGAACCATGTTTTGTTTGAAGGAAACTTGTGGATTAAACACTGGCTCAGCAGCAGCAGCGTGACGGTGGTTAAATCTGACTCTGTCTCATACATAAGCCAGTTGTTGCTCTTCTATATTTAGGTGTGAGTTGAGTGCACTCGTATTTTTAGAGAGTTGAGTGGTTGGAAAGGTGATGCTCTGGGTTTCTCGAGGCCCTTATGAGTGTTTTCACACCGCAGTGCTTACTGTCACAGACCCGGAAGAAATACCTCAGTCACACACACACACCACTGCTTGGAGTCCTGAAACACACTCAACACGCGTGCATGAGTGCAGACGCAGATATGTTTTGCACGTGAACCGCGTGTTTCTTGCAGTGTGTTGGCTGGAAGGCTGGAGTGTGTAAAGCATTTTCTGGCCTTCATGTTTATTTTCCCCTTCATTCTGTCGCTCTTTCTCAGCTTAAAGCTGCATTAGTGCAGGAATAGAGGCGCCATTGATGAAGGAGGAGAGTTAGATAGAAAGTAGAACAGCAGAGAAAAACTGAGAGGTGGAGAAGTGTGTGTGATTGTGATCTTCAAGTGTGTCTCAAACTGTCATATCATGCTGATGTGGTTTCGTGACTCACAGATCAGATGGCTGATCACACACACACACACACACACACACACACACACACACACACACACACACACACACTCACTCTCTCTCACACACACACACAAACACTCTCTCTCACACACACACACACACACACAAACA